ATTACTATTACTTTGTTTAGTTGCTTTTGCTAAAAACATGTCCCAAGGGTCTCAATTTTCTTTCAAAACCCACCCTCTACTGAGGTAAATTAAGTTTTATTTACAATTTTATATGATTCTTGCCTGTTTACATATTTCCTTTTCAGTTGTAATGATTGCGTATTCCCGACTTTTTTCGTTGCTTTGTTACAGTTGTTAGGTGGACTTGATCTACTGTATTCGATTCTTCAACATGGAACCACAATTAAGGTACACTCCTAATATCCTCATCTCAGACTCATTTCTTCTATACTATTAATCTCTTCTCCATGGTAACACAAGTAATCCCTCACATTCTAATTCAACTTTTTTTTTCTTTTCTTTTTTCTGAAATATTCTAATAATCTAATTGATGATTGTAATTTCAATTTCAGAATTTTATAAAGTGTAGTTTATTGTACTTTTTCATGACGAATGTAATTTGAATTTTAGATGTTTGATTTTTCAGATTTCTTACCGTAGCTGCGGATTTCTGAAGAGCTAGATCTCTTCATGTATTTCAATTTCTTTGCTCCACAGATGGGGTTTTTTCAGGTTTATTCCCCTCTAATAGAAATCTTTAATTTCACTGATGGATTTTAGTTTTCTTGAAATGAAGAACAGTATAGTTGGGATGATCTGGTGCAATAAGAAGAGCCAACAGTATAATTGTCTTTTTTTTTTTTTGGATTTGTCAGTTGTAGCAGGTATATTTAAAACTGTATGGAGCATTGTGAATTTTTTTTATATCATGATTCTATTTAGTTTATTATTTTTCTATTTAATGTTTACTTAATATAGTAAAGTAAAGTCACACTCTTTCGAAAAAAAAATATATAGTAAACTAAGATAAAAACTTTAATCTAACTATTATACTATGATATTAGTTTATTGTGATTTAAGATGTTGTATAAGTTAAAAATAATTTAAACGAATCTGTGGAAAGTACAACTTATATATATATATATATATATATATATATATATATATATATATATATATATATATATATATATATATATAACTGGAAGCCTCTCTCAATCTTTGATCAAAACTGGACGAATTTGCCCCTGATGTTATGGTTGCCTGAAATCATACTTGTGCTTATCCTCTACAAATCAGAGACTAATTTGGACTTTTTTGCCCTTAATGTTGGTGTTACCTATAGCGTATCTGGGTGATCTCAGCCATTGTGCTCTAATTTTTTTAATTGCTTAGTATTTTTTTCCTAAAATCTTAATGCACTTCGTTCAGCCCTTTGCTGGTGCAGGTTTCCAACCACCAATCTTTCATAGGATTTAGAGTTTTTAAAATCTAATTTGTTTTTTTACACATATTACTGTTTTATCAGCTCCGGTGTAGGAAGGCATCTCATATTGTTGTGGATTACACTCTCCAATCACGTCTTAGCAATTAGCATGGTTCCTAAACCAATCATTCTGTTGTGCTTTCTTGCCCAACTTCTTCCTCTCTATTATATGCTCTTCAATGGCTGGTACGTGATTATTTACTTTTTTTTAGGCTGGTACGTGATTATCAACTTCTTTTTTTTGTAGTTTGTTTGTGGGTTTTCTTTATTTCCTTCAAATTGAGTTGTTTCTTTTTTAATTTTGGTGAATTTTGTTGATCTATTCTCGATTTAGTAAAATGATATTTGATTAATTGAGTTTCTGGGTTTGGTATTTGGATTTCTCTGAAGTACATGGTTGATCAAGTAAAAAAGAGGGGTTCAATGAACTAACTTTGACTGTTTATTGTTTTACTTTGTAAAAAATGGTGGGATGTTGTTTGAATTCGTTGATAATAGAATTTTTGCATAAGCTGCGTTTTTATATTTTTACTGTGCATAACCTGCATTCTTTGAGTATTCGGACGGGAGGTTTGACTCTTTGACCTAAATGAATATACTCCTATAGTTTTTTTGTCAAATGTTTTTTTTCTTATTTAATTAATTAATTTATTTATTTATTTAAGCAAAGTAGAGGTTCAAAATCCAGGTGCTTTCACTGCAAACACTAAAATCCGAGTGGTAGCTTCTTGGGAACCTACAGTATTGGCAACAATTATTATCCCCAGTGAGTAAGCTCTCAAAATCCCTAATTTTTTTATCCCCAAATGGCAAATTGTATAAATAACTTAAATACCCTTTTCTAAAACCATGTTATTAACATTTTTAGTATGTAAGTATCTTCTTTTTGACGAAATGCAGAAAGTCGGAGATAGAAACTTCTATTAGAAGCCGCAAAGGAGTGCAAGATGATTTTGGACATAGTTGAATCAACATTACCTAACCGTAGAACATTTCAACCATTTGGATTGTTTGCAGCTCGGGTTGATATGCAAGGGTCTACCCCGGTATGATATTTTTTATGCTAAATTTTTACTTAGAAATCAGAACTTATTAATATTGTTATATTTTTATGTAATCATTGAGCTTTTTACTTAATTTTTACAGGGAGGCTTAGCTATATATTGGCTTATCTAGATTCGTTTGCATGGTTAGTTGTGGAGTGACTGTACTTAAGTTAAGGCGTGTGTATGCTCGATCACAATCTGCAAAAATATCATAAGTATTATTTTTCAGCAAGTTTTTTACATCAATGAATAATTGATCATTTGAATCATATTTTGAAATTATATGTCCAGTATTCGTTATTTTGAATTAGCATGTTCCTCATTGCAATCTATTTTTGTAATTATATTTCATATTTATTGAAATATTATATATTTAATATATTTTTTTTCTTATTCTACAAGCTTTTCAAATTTACAGTTTTTTATATGGTAATTATTATCTTAAATTAGGTATAATTTTATCTATTTTTGTAATTATATTTGACATGTTATATTGATCTTATTTTCGATATCATACCATACATAAGACATATTTTAAGTATGAAAATGATATTACATTCCAAAATCTTTATGTCATATCAGCATTAATCAAATTTATATTTCCCTATAAATATAGGGTCTACGATTTTTCATTCCAAATCAATTTTCTCTCAAACTAATTATCTCCTTTCATTGCAGATAATAGTATTCCATGACAACTAAAAATGCGGATCAGGTCGTGTTTGATAAGTTTGTTGAAATCGATGCATCCAAAGGGTCTTGGAACATACATGTTAAATTCGTTTTGCTTTGGAAGCAGACCTATAAAAACAATCCTAAAATGGTCGGGAGCCTAGACATGATTTTATTTGACACTGTTTCTACAAACTTTATTATTTAGATTGTCAAATTCTTATGTTATTACTTCAAATTTTATGTATTTTTTCCTGAAAAGGGTATTCAAATTGCTTCAAATATGTGGCAGAAAAATGTGGATTTCAATCAATTTCTATTCTTCTGTTTTATTTATATTCAAATGATTTTAATAATCAACTTTATTGATGTCAACAGAATGCTAAAAAAGTCGTTTATATGCATGAGGATCAACTTCAAGATAAAGAAGTTTTTGATTAATTGTTACACTTCAACTTGTATTAACAAAGAGATATCTGTTGTTCCAAGGTTTTCAATATTTCTTTTATACATATTATTATAATCTTCAGTTAAACTTTCTACGTTTATATTACTAAATCTGTTTATATCAATGGTTTTAGTTTCAAAATCACCATTACAGCGGTTTGGTCACTTACGTTATTTGATCGTGACGCAAAGATACTTCTTGAAAAAACTGCACAAGAGTTGCTTGACAATTTTAATGAGGTTATTCATATTATCTTTATTTACACAAAACTAATTTAACTTTTTGTCTATCTATTTTTATAACCGTTCATTTTTTAGGGGGGTAATACGGACCAAATATTCATCTGCTATGAATGTACTTTTGAATAAAAAGTTGGCGTTCAAAATTCAAATTTCAAATGATAATTTGAAGAACAAACTTGATGGTTATGAAATCGTAAAGTTCACTGCTGATAATACAATCATTGCTCAATTGGAAGAAAAATTAACATCAAACGGGTAACATATGAGTTTATTTCTACATTTAGAATTTATTTCTACATTAATGATTATTGAGGATAAAATCAAACGTACTATCTTACCACCACCGAATCATTTGAGATTGTTACTGCCAACAGCTACTTCGGTCAAACAGCCTATTGAGATTGTTACCACCACCAAATCATTTGAATGGTCTTCTTCGGAAGATGGTGTTGCCACTCCTTTGAAGATCCCAAAAATGGAAAAGCTCGAATAACTTTAAGTCATTCATCATTATTTGACATTTTGGTTTGAAGACTTTTTTTATTAGTTTTTATTGTTTGCTTATGGATTTATTTGACAAGTAATTTGTTTTGATTTAAAAGTTTATGTTTCTTTTCATCTATTTCCCATAAATTTTCTTTTTTTAATTATTATGTGTTCCCTTGCGTTTAACGCGGGTTATAATCTAATTCATAATAAAACAAAACTATACAAATGGCATACTCGTTTATTATTACTACATTTCTGAACAACAAAGAACTACAAGCCATATTTCTAAAAGTTCAAGTGACATCTAAGTATAACAAAATATCTTTAATAATCATATTTAACACAATTTATCAAAAAGCTAAATATGTGGAGAAAATTGATTTTGTCAACCAAATCCATTTTAAAATATTATCGAACCTACTAAACTCACTCCTTGATAAAATCTAACTTACATGAGAATTAATTTTGCTAAAGTTAAATTTGAGGTTTTAAGCTCATGCAACAGACGAAGCAACATTATAACAAACACGTCATTTTCATCACCATCCCCAAAACAATTGGCTTCAGATTTGCTAGAGGCTCAAGAGTCTAGCCTCTCCCAAAGAATAAATTCCAGATTTCACAAATGGTAATCGCAATCCCCATTGTTATTTTGGATAGATATTTCAAAATATAATTTCTTAATAAGTTAAAAAATTAAAAAAATACAATGCTATAATTAGGTTGATTTTTGAAAGTACAGCGCCTTATTAAGTAAAAAAAAAAAAAAAAAAAAAAGGAACTACAATGATGCAATAAAAATAATCAATGTAGGCTGCTATGGTACACAAATAAATACAATCGATGGAACAATGCTCGACAGCCTAGTTGAGGCCGTACAACGATCACTAAAGTAGGCATACATGATCAAAGTCAGGTGGTTGTTGCATGTAAATCGTCTCGTGGAAATGACTGTAAAGAAATGCATTCTTCACATCTCGACAAACAAATCTTTGCACATATCTTTATGATCTTTGTAGAACTTTCTAGAGCATTGTGAAGCGCGCTATCTAGGAGGTGAGGTAACAACATATTTAAGCATTGCATATCCTAAGCTTGTCTTGCAAGTTTGACATACATCTCCTTTGCCATCGTGCCATAAGATAATGGCAAGAACCATCCAGCATGAGAGTAAACAATGGTGTCTCATGCCTGAGCTATTATTACCATTTCTCTACAAAATTTTGTAAACTACACATTGGGTCGAGAAAACATACAAACGAAATTAACCTATTAGAAAAATATCAAAGAAGACTGAACTACAATCTGGTTGAGAAAACCGAGTAAAAGTCGGGTTCGGTGAGAAACCATATGATTTTATATAAATTGGATAAAACCCAGATCCAACACATAGCTAGGCCAAGATCATTATTTGTGTTTGTATATATGTCATGGAGCTTACATAAGGATCTGTTGCTTTTTTTGCTGTTTTCTTAACAGATCCATTGCAATAATGCTAGCTAGACCTTGGATCTTGTTTATCATATTAGACAAATAAAAAATATATCATAATAACCTGACGAAGTTGCAAAATAGAGTTATAGATTTTACCTTTCCGAGACCACGGATTCCAACCATGAGAGCAAGATAAGATAAGATAATCCCATTTAGAGCTTAATGGAAGAATGAACAAAGGTTTAAAGGGATCAAGATTCAAGAAGCAGATGAAGATGAAATAATAGTAAGAATTCTGAGTAACAGCTAACTCCATTGATAATGATAAGAAAAAGTGAAAACCCATGTGATGATCTGACGGATAAAAGGAGAGACTTCCAAAACAAGAAAAGCATAAGAAAAGCAAGAATTCCACTTCTACATACCACTAACTCCTATCTTTGCCACAGCCTAGCGGAATCATGTGATCATGTTTTCCAAAATTTCTAATAAAAACAAGATATGTACGATCACCCGAATATTTCTAAAATTACAAGTTTACAACCGATGCTATGAAAACTTTTGAGTTGATAAAAATCTTAGTTGTTCAAGTAAAAACTAATACTTATGTTTAATCCCAGAATAAACTTATTAATTGTGTATAAATATATTACTAACACTTTTGATTAATTTAATTTATAAGTTACAGTTTTAAAACATAAGGTGCCAAAGTAGATCACGATGGGTAACAACTTATGTCATATTATTAACTACTGATTAGAGCATTAATTTAGTAAATTATGGAATTATTAACATATTGTTCAAATAAGATGATGTTTAGGCAGTTTAATAGGTTATATATATTAAAAAAAAAAAATAAGAAAATGCAAATCTAACCAACAACCTAAAACATTTTCCAATACTTTAGTCAAAAAAACATTAACGACTTTTCAAATTAGCCACCATTTTAGTGCATCACAATTTATAGAAACGTCATAATTTCTTAGTAACATTGAACTTTTGCATGTAAATAACATAATTGGGCTAAAATTACATTAGATCATCCAAAAACTTACCCTTCAAAAAGCACCATTCCTATTTTTAGTTTTTTACCCTGATTTACTTTAACTTTTGGTTTGAGCTTTTAAGCTCATGCCACAAACAAAACAAAGTATCAAACACGTCATCTTCTTCACCATCCCCAAGACAATGGGCTTCAGCTTTAGACACCGTCAAAACACTCCTCAACCACTCCTCATGCAAAGTAGAAAACTCCGACCGCCTTTCACTTGACCGGAAACTTACTCCGATCTTTCTTTTCATAACCTCCCCCGCCTTACAAGCCGCCTCCACCACCTTTTTTGGAATTCCCGCCATTAACGCCACCTGCATCCCGTAGCTCTCCGGACATGCACCGGTGGTTAGCCGGTAGAGAAACACCAACTTCTGGGTGTTGGTGGTTGACAGTGACGTCACGTTTTCAAAAGCACATGCCATGTGTTGTAAGGTCACGTGAGGGTGTGAGGCGAATTCCTTCGTCAGTGGGTGGTAATGGGTGGCAAATAGTAACCTACAGTTCACCTTTTCAACAAGATGACGAAACACCTGTAAAAATAGCCAATTTAAGTTTTATTATCATTAAATGATATGAAAAGGGGTGTAAATGTAATCATACTTACAGCATAAGCAATAGCGTATCCATCGAAAGTGCTTGTTCCTCTGCCCAATTCGTCAAGAATCACAAGAGAATCTTGAGATGCGTTTTGCAAAACCGACGCCGTTTCTGTACATTCAATCAGAAAGGTACCTAGAGTGGAAGAAACATAATAGTTCAGGGGCTAAAATTAAAAATGATTTTTATTATTACTTTTATGTATTCTAGATAATACTAACTTACTTTCACCCGTCATTATACGATCAGTAGCACCCAAACGCGTGAAAATAACATCAGCAGCCGAGATAACACATGTTTCACATGGGACATAGCAACCTAACTGTAAACAAAAAAGTAATTTACAACTTTAGTCCCCGTTCTATGACAAAAGTTACAAATTTAACCCATTTACCTGAGCAAGGATAACGGCTAAACAGGTAGCACGAAGGAGGGTTGACTTCCCGCCCATATTTGGACCAGTCAACAGCAAAGTACGAGGATTGTAACCAAATTGGTTATCTCCAAGAGACAAGTCATTAGGGACAGGTGTCCCTCCGGTTTCCCCAAGCGCATATGGATGCCATAATCCTTTCATATCAAGTGTGGGACCCGATGAGTTTGAACGAGGAACTATAACGGGCCGACACATGGCTAGACAGGAGAAGTTTGACGTGGCAGCAAAAGATCTGAGAACGTCAATGGAGTTTAAAGCGAGAATAAGTTGAAACCACTCATTTGATTTCTCCATGAATAACTCGATCAAGATTGATAGGATTTCAGCGTCTGAATCCTTGATCTCATGTGCTTGATAATTTGGGAAATCACTATCGATAGCTGCTTCAAATTGGGTGAGAAATTTATCAATTCCATCGTTCCCATTTAGCATCGGAAGACTGAATATTTTTAGTAACAACGAGAAGACATGATCTTCCTTTTGTAACACCTTCAATAAATCCAATCCAACACGTAAACCTTTAACAAGAGACCCAAATACTTTCACCTGCACCATCAAACACCAGATTGTAACTCACATCCCTATCCCTATTTCCTTAATATATGAAAAGAAAGAAAGACTTACTCGTTGCTTTAATATTTTGCTTCCAATCAGTGGCAATAAAAGCAAAGCAGATGAATGAAAGGTGGATTTAACTTGTCCAAAAAACCTTTCCAAATCCGGAAGCTTCCGGAGATATTGAGAAATAAGTGACATGATATCTGGATGACCCATGAGTTGTTCAACCACATTAAGCCTGTGGTTTATTTCCTCTATGTCCTTGAGTGGATGACATAGCCATTTCCTCAAGAGTCGTTTTCCAGAAAATGTTATGCAGCTATCAAGATATTTGAAAAGTGTTCCTGATGTTCCTCCATCTGCATTATTACTGAAGATTTCAAGATTGGCCATTGTTTGTCCATCCATTCTAAGGCATCCTCTGTAGACTTCATAGGGTAGAATACTTCCATTCTTTAATGCATCATCCAACTGCTCAAAGTTCAATTTTTAACATTAATTCTAACATGAAACAACACATTAGTGTTAAGAATTTAGGGTTTATGGATCTCAGTAAAGATCTTACCTTTAACCTGGATAAATGATTGGAAAGTCCACCAAGAGCACATAATGCAATATCCTGATGAGCCACTTGATTAAGTGCAAGATCCCATGGATTTGAGTTTGAGGAGCCTTTAAAATACCCTTTTAATTGAATAAAATTTCGAACTTCATAGGACTCAACAAAATCAGTGGCTGGAACTGATGGGGTCATTTGTGAGGCAACAGAACCTACGAGGGCAAATTAGTAAAATCAATTGGGACGTCAGAATAAGAAAGAAATAGCAAAACATGTAAATTAAAGAAAATAAGTAACATACTTACCGGTTAAGGAATACTTGTTAAGCGCCTTCTGAGCCTCTTTGGATAATCCTATATCACACATTATTTTTCATAGTGAGGAAGCATATGGTGAAAATGGGAATAAAGGAAATGTATTTTAAAAAATATAAATAAATAAAAGGAGACTCACCTTGACTTTCAAAAATAACTTCTGCAGGAGACACCTGTATAATGCAGTTTTAGCATTAGATTGGCACTCTATGATATAAATTAGGGTTAAATGCAAGAAATGGCAATGTACTTTCATTGATTTGTTTATTATAGCACTACAGCATTACAACATTGTACTTTAAAAAATATGTATGTCATCAAATTACAAAGCAAATTCCACTGCTATAATTGGGTATTTTCATAATATAATGTCTTAACAAGAAAAAAAATATAATGGGTAGTTTTCAAAGTAAAATGCTATAATAAACAAATAAATGAAAGTACATTGCCATTTCTTGTATTTGAAAGCATACCTGCATCAACAAAGCCCCTAAAGCTGCACATGAAGCATCATCACTGACTGATCCAACCCAAAATTGTAAAGCAGCACAATCAACAAAGGCAAATCCATATGCAGTTGAACCATCATCAAGATTTCTTATACCCTGTACACAATTAATTATAATGAATATGGTTATATTTAAATAATATGAATATATTGGCAATGACAACAAAATTATATAACTAATAAAAAATATACCTCCTTTATAGCAAGAAGATGAACAGCTTGAGGCCCAATGTTACCATTGACCAAGGTTGATGGTGTAAGCACATTTACTAATTTTCTTTGAATTACCTGTAAACATTTAGAAACTGTGAATATTTAAATAAATAATAACACGTTATCTACAAATGACAAAATATGACACTTATATAAGTGGAAATACATTTAGAGATTCTTGGGTTGTTTTAGCAAAATCTTAAAGGACATAGAACTTACAGCAGTAGATCCTCTCGATTTTGCTTGTTCTGATGTTTCCAACTGTTCCACTCGCCCAACTTTATACCTTCAAATTTTACATAAAATTGGTGAATAGTTATTTAATGATATCCCATGAACTTGTAACAAATCAACAAATGACAAGATTTTGAGCATATCAGTAACATACCCACGAGCCAATAGCTTTTCAACAGCATCATCAATTGCATTCTCGGTGATACCAACCTAAACAAATGCAAAAAATAGATGCTAATTTACTAAAACAACTTTAAAAGATAGTAAAGATATTCTAACTTTATAATATATATACACCACTACACAAATACCTGTCGACATTTCCCCACACCACTCATTGTCATTTTCCAATCAAGCTCTTTATGTCCAACTTCAGCATCTAGTTCATAAAGCTCATAGAATTTTCCCTATAAAAGAATTCAACTATGACAAATCAAGCATTTGTATAATCATTCTGAATAGTAGATAATGAGAAGCAGAAAAGAGCACATGATGACATGACCACTTTAAAGTGTGTTCAAAGAGACAAAAACTAACCACTTTAAAGAAAATAAGAACATCCATGTATTGACTTTTGACACCCCAATATTGTTTCTGGGATGCTGACATCGTCCTCAAAACATCAGGTGGTATGTAAAGTGTTCTCTTATCATAAAGAGGATTGTTTGGCCTTCTTCCATTAGCATCTTTGATTCGTGAAGGATGAAGCCAGTCAAACTTACTAGCCATTTCAGATGCCACATCATCTTTCTTGTTTTGAGAAGGTAAATCATGAGAAAAATATGAACTTCTTTTATTGTTCATAGGCGTTTCAGATGCCACCTCATCTTTCTTGTTTTCAGACAGTAAATCATGAGAAAAGTTCACTCTTTTGCTATTGTTCATAGGCATTTCAGATGCCACTTCATCTTTCTTGTTTTTAGCAGGTAAATTTTGAGAAAATTTCACTCTTTTGCTATTGTTGATAGAGAAATCAGTAGTGGTACTAGTAGTAAAGCCAAAGGTACAACCATCTTCTTGGATTCGCTTCAAACGAGGAATCAGTGGTTTTGTACCTGGAGTTTCTGGCCCTGTTATATCACTATCACTTTCTATGATCAAGGGATGTCCTTTATCCCCTTGACAAACTGTTTTTTCTACATCAGAATCATTTTTCATTCTTGAAAAAACAGAAACTGAACCCTCCTCTCTTCCATTAGAGTAACTACAGTTATTAGATATTGAGAAGATATTATCACAGCTTCTATCTGACAGATTCCTGCAGGTTGTGATCAAACACCATTAAATTCAACACATATTAGCATTTGTTCATGGAAAACAAGGCATCAATTTGCTCACTTCATGTACCTCCAAAAACTACAACACATCTGTCCATTGACATTAACTCAAAAGTTACATAAATCAATCAATGGAAAGATATTTGGAAAACATTGATTACATCTAAAATTATGGAAACACAAAGAAAGTTATATCTTCTATTATAGTTAAACTCACGTGCAAGTTGCAGTTAATTAGCTGTAGAATTTTAGCCACCAAAAGAAACATGTATATGGTATTGCTGTGAATGGAATGCAATGCAAATGTTGAGGTGATGCAACCTTCTTAACATACTTACACGTTTGGAGGCACCGGTGAGAATATGAGCATGAGGGTTACAGTGGGCAGGGTAAAGTAGTCAAGAGAGATTTAAAGGATTGCAATGCATCCAAGGAATCGGTTTCCATATTCCAAAGCCTATATTGGTGGATCTATTCTTTTTAGTTTTAGTTACCTGATGATTTCATGTTTAACCTACTTCATAATAGTACGGATATGGATAGAGGATTCTGTTTAATATCAATAAGCGAGTACAAGTTATGTGGTTAAGTAGCAAACTACAGCTTAATTCGAAATTTAAGTAAGTAAATCACATAGAAATGTACCTATCACGAGGCTTCTCGACACTGTTAGGCTTGACGAACTTGTGCTTGATACTGGAAAATAACGGACGTTGCTCTTTCTCTGGGGGAGTGTCCGTTCCAATGATTTCATGGGAGAAATCCACTGCAGATGAGTGAATAATAGGCTGATTAGATGCAGGTAAATTTCTCCGATGTATCTTCTCCTCAGAAGCCGCCTCAGAGTCGCCTACGACAGCTCCACCGCCGACCGGTTTTTCAATTTTCGGCTTCTGAAGGAACGAGAGTATGGATTTCTGGCGCTGCATCGTTTGGGCGTATGAATGGAGACGAAATTTCTGAGGGTAAAAGTAGAAGTGTTTAGAGGGGGAATTTGGCATTTGGCGCCCTTTTGAGATATGAATTCACATATCCCCAAATTATTACCGACTCAATTCACCTACTGATTCGTCACTCGGTTCCAAACTCCAAAGTCCGAACAAAACCTGCCAAAGTTCTGGGCTCGGCCAAATGGGCCAAGCAAACTCACTTTGGGCTGATATATCTATTCAAATTTAAAAAATTTAACCTCCATTTTAGTTTTTAGGGGTTTATTTGCAAAAAAAAAAACAAAGCGGTTTTCAAATCGGTTCGGTCCACTAACCGGCTTGGGTTTTTTAGGATATAGTGGTAATTTGAGTTTTTTTTAATTGGTATGGTTCTTAATTGTCGGAATGAAAAAAATGAATTTGTTTAATCTTGTTAAAAGTAGACTTTCTTGATTTTGTTTGTAATTGATTTCAATTATATAGTATTAGCCCGGCATTTAATCTTTAGGATAGTAAAATCTAATCGGATAGGACCAACTCGGACCTGTTTTCGCAATCTGGGTTTCGTTATGCCAGGTTTCATATTGGATATGGATCCAAATTTCTTATACATTTCTATTTGAGGTGCACATAACGGATTATAATCTAATTCATTATTATTCTAAATCAGTCTGATTGGTCAAGGTAGGCACTTAAAATCGGTTTCCTCCCAAAACGGTTGTACTCCTAACCAAATGTTGATCAAAATGTTTAAACCGGTCTAAAATCATATCTACATTACGAGTATTAAAGTGGTCAAAAAATATCTTTGAGAAGTTGTCATCCTTTTCCTTAGGTTTCCACTACACAAACATTGGCACATTTAAAACTCATGTTGTAAACAAAAAATCCATTAGCCTAACTCTTTTTTATATGGCATGACAGACCATGCGATCCTGATTCAAGTATGATGCTTAGAATCATTGAGAAGCCAATCAGACATGTGTTAAATAATAAAGAGATTCTTTAATTTAAAGAATATCATCTTTTATTTGCTCTTAAAGTACTAGTTTAAAAGGCTTGTTAGAATTGATCAGATATTAGATTTACATTATATGCAACAGAAGCATTTTAAGTGCTAGATGGAATAGGTATTAGTTTGGTAATGGTTGGAGTAGCAAACACAGATTCGTCAAGAATCTCATTTTTTTTGCAATACGCGGGGAGATAGCTTTAAACCTCTATCGTTCAATACGGATAAGTAAAATCCCTTCGGTCAATTAGTTTGCTTAGATGATACCCACTTGTCTTCCCTAACGTTCAGAGTTATTCTATTATAAGAGATGAGCACCGGTTGAGCACCCTAAATGAATAAGAAATTAAATTGATCATTATGCATTGCTAGTTAAAAGTGACATTAAATCATATTCTTTACTATAAGATACTTAAGTGATATACATGGATAAAGTCATCCACCACCTGGACCATTCAAATAGTTTATGATTTTAAACAATGCATTAAGTAGATTGTCACATGTAAGTTTATTATCAACTTGTAATATAGTACTCGCAAGATTATTTGCATGAATCATAAAATTAAGAGCTTGATCTCTCCATATTATGTAATTAAGATTTTTCTTTTTGGTAATGATTTTACTTCCTAATCATTCAATGATTATTGTGTGTCATTTTGAATCACAATTGATGAGTCTATTGCTTGCCTGCATACACAAAATGGCCTACCAAAATTATTTGTTAAATGTCCCTAGTTAATTCGAAGACCATTACTAATGAGAACAAAGCTTAATGTTTCAACATGAAACATGATATCTTTGTAACATCCTATTTTCTATCATTTCTTATTTCAGGGTCATGGGTCGGAAGTTGATTGTGTAAAGGCTCTAGGCCTTATGGAGGTAAAGTTTAGTCCTTGTAGAAGGAGGCAATGATGGTTAAGAGATTTAACCTTTGAACTGCATATTGGGTCGAATGGTAGAAAGGGAAAAGTCATAGGTCGGGTTCTTGCATGAAATATGATTTTTGTTCGAGAAGTTTTTAGTCCAAGATATCTAGATAACATTGCGGGGCTCTTTAAAAACTTTTCATGGATATAAAGATCATCAAAAAGGAGTTGGAACAAAGAAGTTATGGTCGTTTGAAGTTAGGAGGGTTTTAGGTTAAGTTGAGTACGTTGGGCGTACAACATGTACGATGGGCGTACTAGGCAATGGTTGATTGTGGAGGATCAACCTGGTATGTTGGGCGTACCAAGAGTACATCGGGCATACGCGATCAAAACCCAAACCCTAATTTCGACGTTTTTAGCCCTATTTAAGCCCCTTAACTCCCTCAAACCCATATTTCTTTCAGCCTTCATCCTCTCTAACCGTAATATCGAAACCATGTCCCTATTTATGAGATCCTTGAGTTTTTTAAGTGCTTTAGAGTGTTCTTGGTGCATCTTGGAGAAGAATGAGCTCATTGGAGAAGTGTTGGTTGCTTTGTAGTTTGTAGATCCAGACCTTGTTCAACTTGATATTTCTTTTGGAGGTATAGAGCTTGAATCTTGATGATGCAATTGTTAGATCTTGCTAGTTTTGGATGTTACGAGCTTTTGGTCACTTTTGTGCATAAAGTTTAGATCTTGAAAATTTGTGACCTTGTTATGGATAAATTTTGAAACTTTATCCATCTAAACATCATTTTGATTTAGATATAAAGGTTGGAAAGTTGGACTTAATGGATTAATTAAGAAATATGCACTTTTGGTCTCTTTGAAACTTAAAAGACTAGATCTTGGTTGTTTGGACCATGGACTTTTTCTAGCCATGGAAAGTCATAAAGTTGGAAACTTTATGGATTAAGTCGATGTTTTGAGCCTAGATCTGAGCTTTGGACAAAAGATCTTAATGGATTAAGCATTAAAGAAAGGAATTGGCTTGGACGTATATACATCGGGCGTACCTGAGAGTACTTTGCGCGTACTAGCCCTAAATCACGTACGTTGGGCATACGTAGAGTACGTTGGGTGTACTCAACTGCTTTGGACTTTGACTTTTGTTGACCGTTAACTTTTTGACCAAGTGTCACTTTGGGTCAAACTTGAGGATTTTGGACTATTGATTAAGATTTTATCTGGTTCTGGTGTTAGTGGATTTGCGAGTGTAAGCGGTGCAGAAAAAGGGATTGTATCGCAGTGTTTCGAAGTTCTTCGATTCAGGTGAGTTTTCCTCACTGTACTTGTGGGTCGAAGGCACCAATGTTGGCCCACTAGGTTACGTATCTTGGTATAGAGGATGTTGCTATGTTGTAGTGATATGTTAGATATGTGTCATGGTATATAGGATGTTGTTATGTGGTAATGATCTATAGATCTATCTGTTTGTCTTATTGGTTATATGATCATTTGTTTGTTGGATATATGTTATATGTTATGTATATGTGGATATAGTATGGTTGGGTTGAGGCAATTCTGCTCTGTATGGAAGCCAACAAACCTGGGAACAAGCCAGACATAAGTTGTGGGCCAGTAAGGCAAGCGAGACTTATGCTTTGGGCTCGAGAGCAAGCCAGACATAAACTGTGGGCCAGTAAGGTAAGCCAGACTTATATTGTGCTCTCAGGAGCAAACCAAACATGAGTTGTAGGCCGGAAGGCAAGCCAGACTCATGATGTGGGCTCAGGGGTAATCCAGTCTGTTAGTTGTGGACCCAGTATGGATGTTGTTACATGTTTGTATGGTGGTATTTTGGGGGAACTTACTAAGCTTCGTTATTACAGTTTGATTGTTATGGTTTCAGGTACTTCATATGATCGGGGGAAAGAAAATGCATGATCGTACACATCCTTTGATGACATGTTTCTGGAAGATTTTGTGATACAGTGATCTTGGGATATTTGTAGTTGATACTTGGTTTTGATATGGTTTTTGTTTGTAAACAATGATTTCTCTTAATTTATAAATGAAAAATTTTACCGTGATTTTGGGATGTTACAAGTTGGTATCAGAGCCCTAGTTTGAGTGAATTGGATGAGCATTCGTGTGAATCCAGTCTCATGCTAAGGATCTGTAACAGTTTTCAACATTTTTTTTCAAAATTTGTTACAAAATTGTTTTCATAATTGTTTTCCAAATTGTTTTCAGAGGTAACCAAAGAAGGATGATTATCATAAAATTGCATGTTAGTAGTAGGCCAGGGATCTTCAGGAATTGCATGCTATAATTTTCTGATGTATGATGCATGATAGCCTATGAGATTTTCTTGTATGTTAGATGAAACTGACATCATTACTGTAGTTGCTTGGTGTGTGCATCATAATTGTACATAACTAAGATTTTATAGCCTGAGAATGTTTGATTTAGCCTTATTCTTGTTTTTTTATGATAAACGGCTTAGGGTAAAATCAAGTATTCGACTATCTATGTGATCCATCGTTATATATGATTAGCATGCATGAGTGGCTACAGGGTTGGTGGAAGTTTCATGAGTGAGTACAGTTTATAGAAGGCCGCACGTGAGGAATGATTAGCCACTCTTGAGATAGTGGATGCCAGAGGTATGTGTATCCTTGATGTTTGGGCATAGTGGCCCGAAATGTAGTATTGGGCCCATACCACTAGAAGCACAGGATCCATACTCGAATCAAAGGAAATCACGAGGATTCTAAGGAGTTGGTTGAGGGTAGATAACATGGTTGGATAACCATGACTTGTGGTAGGTTTTCTGTATCTTTCGATATTCTAGTTATGGTTGTTCGGGATGAGGATGATTTGGTGATTGGTTGGGCTTTAGTGTCTATATAGGAATGGGTTTAAATGGTGCAAACGTAGGTGAGTTAGTTCATTTAAGGTCTCGAGGGCCTTGCTCGATGGTAGTGTCAGTTGAGTCGCGAGACTCAAGAAAGAAGTTATTGTTATGATCGGCTCGAGAATTTATCTAGAGGCTGATTTATTGGCAGATGAATTGGAATATCACTATCTTCGGCAGGGGCTATGTTCTTCCAACTTTTCGTGTTCAGAGGAGAGAGAGGGCAAACATGTGATTTTCATAGTTAGGATGTAGATCCAACATGGGGCTATGTGACTGCAGTTTTTGACGGCATTATGGCAGTGCGGGAATGCAAAAAAGGATTCTTGTGGTATGATTTCCTTGG